CCGTCGTGGAAGTCAAGGGTTTTTATTCTGCCAGTTCTTCCTGCCTGCCTTCGATTCCTTACCCCACACTCCTGGGACCCTGTTTTAGTGAACGCTTATGGCACAACTGGACATTAGGGTGGTGCGAAGCCTGATATTTCTGTTCTCTCTATGCTAGGGAAGTATCAACCCCAGTTCGACTGTAGGGCCGCTCTGTTAGGGGAGGAGGGATACGGAGAGGATGTGGAAAGCGTTTTGGATTTAAGAGTCAGAAGAGCTGGGTTGAAATCCTAGCTTGCCATTTGGTAGTGGTTTTAATCTCATGCTTGAAGCTTAGACATTTTTGACCACATTTAAAGCGGAGCTTTCTTATACCTATGTAAATTAGTAGGGAGAATTTAAATGAAATGAAGACAGAACGCTAATCTTGAAATATTTTGGGAATCTAGTTACCCTTGGTTTAAGGATATCCAGGATACTTAATGGTAGATTCCTAGTTATGTTTATTTATCTATCTACAATAGCTCAGCTTGGTATGGAGAGAAGGGTGTCGGAAGAGATACTAGGATCTTGTATGGTTAGAACCTAACTGCAGTGTGTGCTTTAGGTTGGGCAGCATTAGGAAGAAGTCAGAATCTTCTTGTCACCCAGATGTCTCATGCTTATTGATAAAACATTATTGGTATATGAAGGATGATGACTCAGATCAGTTTTGCTCCTTACTCGAGATAACTTTGTCCAGTGGGCCCTTTCTAGGAGAAAAGCTGAAAGGGACTTCATTTATACCTTGGCCACTTTACAAGGAATTCTTTGCAAGTATTTCTGAGGACTCCTCACTCTGCCTCTAAAATATTTCATGTTAATTGAAAATGTGCAGGGAATAAATACAGGAACTTGAATCCTTTGAGTGGTTGGACATTACAGTTCTAAGTATGAAAAGATGCCTTTATGTAGGACAGAGAAGAATATTCACCACTGAAGTTTAATAGACCCTAAGTTAGAGAAGTATTTGGGGAGGAGGAATGGGAGATACGGTCTGTGACTTGGGTGGTAGCCCCTGTTCTTAAAACTGCCTGTCACACAAATTAAGGATGCTTTCCTTTCCTCAGTGGAACATGATGATGGCTGCTGTGCAGTATGTAGCCAAGTACAATCTTCAGTTCCTTTGCCACGGAATTTTCAATTTGGAACTTTAAGTCATGGATAAAGAAGGGACCTTGAGGTCACCTCATCTTGTAATTCCAAAACCTGACTGGTCATTGGAAGCATTTGCAGAATTAAAACCAAATCTTAGATGCCTGGACACTACCTCAGTGGCTCTGAAGTGAGACCTGGGTATTTGGTTTTTAAAAGGCTTCTCACATGATACTCATGATTTAAAAACACAGATATAGATCAGGTTTCACATTTTAGTTTATAAACAGGCTCAGAGAGATGAGTGTCATGCCCAACTAGTTTGTTGCCTTCCATGCCTTAATTTTTTTCTCTTTCTTGTCCTTTCCTTAACAAATAACCATACTCGAATTAATAGTACTATTTCAGGTTTTGTGGTGTTTGAGCCCAGAAGTTAGAAAAAAGTCCTTTAAGTCAGTAGCTCTGTAGTTCTGTTTTTATAGTTTCCTATGAAATTAGACTCCTCAATGCTCTTTCATGAAAGTAGATTTTAAAGTAAAATTTCATACTAAATGTTGCTTAGCTCTGTTTGTTTGCAGAATAATATAAAGATTATTATCACTTTATAAATTAGTTTTTGTGCCGTACCATGGAAAAATTCCAGTTTAAGAATATTTTGCTTTTGTACTGGCTTATCATATACCCAGTGCTTTCTCCCCCTCTTCAGTCTTGGTATGCATGACCACTTAACTTTGTATCACTAGCCAGCCTCCTATGTTTGAGAACTGGGCTGTAGATTGCTTTATAAACACCAGATTTAACTAAAGGCTTTCAGTATTTGTTTTAAGCTTGTCCTTGAAATTTTAGTCTCTTTTTCTTGGTTAAATTGTACTGTGCCACTGATTTAAAAAATTTGGTAGAAGCCTAGAAAGGATGAACTGATAAGGTGGTAACAGTGCCTTGTGTGTATTTTTCCTACCTGTTATAGTGAAGACTTGATGACTTTGTGGGGAGGTAGTATTTTCAGAATTATTAAGGTAATAGGCCATCAGGCAGAGTTGAACATTCTCTTTTAGGGAAATATGTTGACCCTGAAAGTTATTCTTTGATAGGCTTCTCATTGCTCTAGTAATTCCTATTCTATGTAGAGTCAGAAATGGACCCTACATCATAAATCCTCTAAAGGAAGTTGCTGAATTATCTTCTTTCTAAAAATGACCCAGTTTATAGCATGTTAACTTCCTACCACCAGATGACAAGGGTATTCTAAAATCACTGATTAAAAATATGAACCCAAGGTCACAATTTTAATCTAAACCGATAATACAGATTTAACATAGAAACAAAGGCAAGAGTGGTGGTGTAACAATTTGAAGACCCAGTGGAAAGTGGAGTTTAGAAGTCACTTGTTGGTTCTTGAGGCAGTCTTCTCTTTCTGTAAGGACTTGAGACCAAAATTGGGTACTTAAATCTACTTTATCTCTGGTGGCTGAATGTGATGAAAGTATTGTCAGTATGTACAAGTAAGTAAATGTACAAGTTGTCTCCAGTTCTCAATCTTGATCTTTTTTATGGTCATCCATGCTCTCTTATGCCAATGCGGGATTTTTTTTTTAATCTTGTTTCCAGCTATAAACCATTCTTTCTCATTTTTCTGTTTATTACTACACAACAGCTAGTCTCATCACTGTCTTTTCACCTCTAGGAGAAAGAACTTTTTCATAGTGATGCTTGAGTTAACCTGTCTAGTGGCTGCACTGTTCAAAATTTGGGTTGTCCTAGGGTCAGTGAGTACCTAATAAGAGTTGAAAGCTCACTTCTGCTTCCCTTGTGTGTCTGTTTTATCTTTGAAGGAATGTTGGTATTTGGTGAACATAAGCTCGCAACAGCATGGCCGAGAATACAGGTGCAGAAATGTAGGCAGACTTCATGGGGAGGTTGCTTTTAATTTTGATTACATGTGCTCTGAGTGCGTGCTTGGAATTTGTCAGTTTTAGGGTGCATTGGTTAGACTCTTTTATTGGAGAACCTGCAGTATTTTTGTCTTTCCTCTTTGAGCTAGTTATATTTGAAGGATCTTCAGATCTGTTTGGAGTTTATAAGCTAGGCTGCCAGTGATATGGTAGCTAAATTAGAAGAAGGGGTAGAAATCTTAGCATTCATTATGTAAACGTTCACTTATGTTCATTTAATTCAACTATTTTTAGTACGATACCCTCCTTCTCAGCTGTACCAGATGTTTTCCAGTCCAGGAATCCTTTGTTTTACCCTCAGTGCTGCACTATCCAATATGGTAGCCACTAGCAACTTAAATTTAAATAATTGAAATTAAATAAAATTAAAGATTTAGTTCTTCAGTTGCACTAGATACATTTCAGGTGGTCAGTAACCACACATGTCTAGAGGCTACCATATTGGACAGGGCAGATATGGAATATTTCTATCATTAAATAGTTTTATTGGACAGTGTTGCTCTGGTCTCGTGAATAATGCTCCAGACTACCGTAAAGATGGAGGAGGGACAGTTGGTTGATTTTTATGGTGAGCGTGGGGATATCTAAATGATGTTAGCAGTCATCTTGTTTTTAGTGCAGTATTTACCCCTGAACCTGCTGCTGCTAATTCCTGACCTGTTTTGAGACACTGTTGTATAAATTGGATTGCTTTCCTCGTTGCAAGCTTGAGATTTAACTTTCTTAGGTCTTTAGGTCAGTCTGCATTCCAGATTCCAAGTTTCTGTTATTGTCCACTCTTCTATTTGTGTGCACATGTTTTTAAAAACAAACCCTTAAGGTCTGTGCATTTTACTGTATGTAAATAATATCTTTAAAAAGTAGTTTAAGAAATTCTTTATTTTCATCTGACTGGGGTTTTAGGAGGAAGTGAAAGTAAGATGTGTCTGTTCAGTCTGCCATCTTCATCCATAAGTAAAGTACTCCATTAGCATTTAAATATGTACAGATCTCTTCCTTTAAAAAAAATCTGCCCTGTCTCTCTCATATTTACTCAGGCTTCTTGAGCAGTTTTATATAATATTGTATTCTTTACTCCTCCTTGGTTTTTATCTTCTCCATTCTTCTACAGTTTCTCTTGTAAATGTTATGAGAATCAAATGGACACTTTTAAATCCTTATCTTGCTTGACCTCTCAACAGCCTTTGACAGACCATTTCCCTCCTAGAAACCCTTCGCTAGCTTTCCTGACACCACACTTACCTGATTTTCCACCTTATTTTCCTAATCATTCCTTCTTTCTTTTGCTTGGTAGTCTTCTTTTACCTCACTATTACATCTTAGAATTCTCAGGACATTGCCATAGGATACATTCTCTAATCCCTTTGACAAATTTTCTCTAGATGAGGTTATCATTTCCTGTAGCTTTGGTTACTGTAAGCTGATGGCTTAAATTGGAATTCCCGTGGTATCCTCCTTTCAGAGTTCTTGACCTGTGCATCGAACAGTATACATCCACTTGGATTTTTTATAGTTATCTCAAATCTAACATGTCTAAAATTAGCCAGTATAACCTTCCTCTACTCTCTCTCCATTTGTTCCAC